TGAACAAGTGCCTCCATTATCTTTGTTGTAATGCCAATTACCACAAAACATAACATATAACTGTTTATGTTTTATTACACTCTACAGATATTAATGTAAGCATAGTCAGTTCTTTTACTTGGAATTTTGCTCTCACGTACAGTAGAAGGCATGTGTGCTGTCTGAACCAACTTATGTTACTTTTATATTAAATATTGTTTTTAAAATACAGTAATATTTTCTCTTGACAGTTAAAAACAAAACAGTTACAAAAAATATATTTAAAAAAAATTAAAAATGAATTTATTGAGAAAGAAACAGTGGCAGTGTTGTTCTGCTTCTATGATGCTTGGTTGACTTGTATCTTGGCAACCCTGGGCTCTTTAGAAATACATTGCTGAAACTGACAAGGATGGTTCCTGTGATGGCATTCAGATTTATCCTGCTTTTATAAGGAAAGCTGTGCAATTTCTAAAGCTGATTTTGTCATTAAGACCTTTTAGTTTATATATTTGAACTGCTTTTTAAATTGTGGTAAATATTTCACATTAAAAAAACATTCAGTCTTATGCCTGCTACACATTTACAAAGTTATTATCAGGAAAATGAGTTTTTTTATAACTTGTACACATTTGTATTTCATCTCAGCTCTTCTTACCAGTGTTCAGTGGGGTATGATGAGCAGAACATCAACAGTATAATTATTACATTCTCATTTCTTAAGAGAGCAACTGGTTCACGGGTAGCAGGAGGACTTTGTGGTACCATGCAGTCAGGATGTCATTAATCATAACAAGTGGAATTCAGTGGTGACTAGACACTTCTGGCCAAATCTCCAGACATTGACCTCCCTATTGATCATGGTGAGGTGTTCACCCAATTTGTGCATCTTAGACGGACAGTTTTTGGCCAAGTTAGAAATTGCTGGCTGCGAACGCTACAGATGACGTGTGACATCCAACCTATAGCATATTTATGGCACAGAGTTATTGTTCTCTTGATAAGCAGAGCATATTGTTTCCTTACTGTTTTTTTTATTTATTTTCACCATGCTTGACATTCAGAAGGATAAATGACCTCATTCCTTGTGCCCAAACAAGTCTCCCACTAATAAAGCAATTTAATGCTTATACAAAAGTCAGGGAGTCTCAAGTGACATGGCCAGTCATGAATAACTAATCAAATAATAGCAAGGACATATAATCAATATCCAGAATTCATACACTATACTGTACTGTACTATACTGTTTTTCTACTAGATTTTTATAGAACAGTAAACCCTCAGTTTAACATTCCAATAAGAGAGAAGGAATGTAGTGTTATTGCCATTAAATCACAAGTGATGTTTTATTCAGCCCCCAAAACGCTATTATGTGAGTATATACAGTTTATTATGTATACAGTAGGCTTTCTGGATCTTTTAAGTTATTTTTTAACAAATGCAAGCTACATACAGTAGTCAATGTTCCTGTGCTTTTCAAAATTGTTTGTGTGCCTTTTATATCATAAATATACAAGCTCTTTATTTTATGTGTTGTAAATATACTGTATAAAACCCCAAATTCCCCATTAGCAGATTTTGTCCATTAAATCTGACGCCAAGGGTTTTACTGTATATAATATCCTAACTGATGTATCATCATCATCATACCACAGGGTGAGAGAAAAAAAAAGGAAATATTAGGCCTTCACAATTAGACATCAATCTCTCTGGTATATTAGGGAACACAGAAATGTATTCAAAGACATTAGTGATTCCAAACAATAACGTCTCTATTCCAATTTTTTCTCTACATAGTGCTTCACATCATTTTATGGTTCTGTAAGTATGCAAAAAATGGAAGGAGTAACATTTTCAGTACAATTTTCTAAACAATCATCACAGATCTTTTTTTTTTCTAATTATGAGAATCAACCAATGCTCCAGTCATTCCCATCTTGGCAGTAAAAATTAAGATTTTATTTCATAACAAATTTATATCCTGTACAGAAATCATTTCATAATAGCACCTCATAAAACTTTGCTGTAGTGGGCCATTAATGGACGCTTGCGTCTTTACTGCCAGAACACATTGCAACAGTTAATATCTTTTGGATTTTATCTCCTAATAATATTTTTTGACAGACTTCTACTGTATATATATGTTGCATTTCCTTTTTTCCCTTTGCACCATACGGTATTTATGAGACAGCCCTTAGTTTAAGATGTAGTCATACCATTATATGTTTATCCACTACGGGTGATCCATAAAATAATTATACGCCTCTTGTTAATATTCTTTCCAGCTTTGCTAGCAAAATGATTTAGGGTCAGATGGAAAAAATATGAATTGTGAAATGAATAAAATAAGAAGAAGTAATGTTGCGCATAACCTAAAAAATAACTGATAACATTTTTTCACTATTGCTTACCTGGTTTTTCTTATTGTGTACAATGGCTTAATTGTTTTCATAGTATTTACAAGGCTGAGCATGAGAATCGGGCTTACTTGTCACTTATTTAGATACTCATAACCCAAGAGACAGACTATACACACAGTCTGGTGCAGGTCT